CTTCTTGCCACGGCTGAACCTAAAGCAGCAGAATCCATTCAGCTTCGCAGTGCTGACCTGTGCTGGGGGAAGTCCTGGCTCTGCTGAGACCCCTGCAAGGCTACCGTGTGGTTCACTGAGCCTGGATTCCTCCCCAGAAGCTTATTTTCCTGATAGCATTTTCCACTGGCCCAGTTCGCCTGTTTCTGAACATCTTTTCTCCTCTCAGTGACAACCTAGAACTTTGTATGTAGCAAATCTTTTTCTGGCCCTTAGCAGAAGCACACAGCTGAGGGTGTCTGCCTACCGAAAAGCAAGTCGGTAATTTTCCGTCATTTTCTCCTCATGTAACAGTCCCCCGAGAAAACCTTCCAAATTCCAGCTCCACTCAGTGCCAATCCTAACCATGAGGACAGTTACATTTCATGCATATGAATTATATAACCAGCATAATTATAATAAATGGGCATGTTGTATATCTGATATAATGCTAATTAGATATTGTATATTTGTAAAATCTTTAAAACATAGACTCGTGGGTCCAGAATTTGTGAGGGGTTTATCTTTGGCTTTCTAGCCAGATTGAGCTTTGCTTTGTTTTTTTTTGTTGATTTATTGTTTTGGGTTTTTTTTTCCTTTTTTTTTTTTTTTCTCCGCTTGTATTTGTGTTCCTATCAAATTCTGTAGAATTAACTCATATTAAAACACACTTCTGTGGCCAGGAAAGGGTCTCAGAGGTTTTCTGAAGACCAGCCAGACCCAGTGCTGTAACTGTTAGTGCTGGACACTCTCCAGCACTCACCATCCGTGGTGTGCACTGAAACCCCCACTGCACACACACCTCAGTGCTGCCAACCCAACTGGCAGGCATGTTCCCTCCGCTGGGTGACATGATGACTGACTTCAGGCTGTGAAGACATTTCCATACAGCACTTCTCTCTTCATGTCCTGCATCCCCACACTGAGTCTCTTCCTACATGACTCTTCATTTAAGGTAGCTCTGGCCTTCTCCCTTCCCTCAAATACCTCCCACCTCCTGGCCTTAATGACGTTCCCAGCTTAACACGTTGGTCCTGTAGCAAACAATGACTGTAGGTTGTGAGGGTGAGTCTGGAGTGGAGGCTTATGATTCAGCACCAGGTTCTTCTGGTGCAGGAGGAGCATGTCGTCTTAACCTTTTGGGATTTAGAGTTAGGTCTCAGTGGGGTGGCCATGTGACCTTTCTCTTTCCCAGACTGTCCAGGGGCTGCTGGTCCTAGTTCGTGAGCTTTTTTCTGCCCTGCCTGGTGGAGACTGTGTTCAGAAAGGACTCCCTGCCTTTGAGACGTACTGGGGCTTTGTTTGATGGAAACTGAGCTGGAAAGGAATATAGGAATCTCAGTGCTTCAGATGGTCATTACAATGCAGCCTTGCGCAAAACCATTCTGGAAAACGATCAGAATTGTCTGTGGATCAGGGTGGCAGTTCATGGCATGAGAGGGATGAGCGAGAAAAGGCTCACACCTCATCCCCTTCCCTTGATGGACACTCCTCTCCCCTGACTACCTCCAAGCTCCTCATCTCAGTCACTGGATATTTTTTCACAGAAGGCAATCCACGTGAAAATATTGCCCTTGCTGACTTTCCCACAGACCGAAGCTTGTGACTCTTGTGAAGAGAACAGAAATGCACATGGTCGGTGGGGAGGTAGTCCTTGCTGAGGGTCTGTGGCTGTTCCATTCTCTCATGGCCCAAGAAAAGCCAGGATCTTCCCTTCTGCAAAGAGGGAGATGTGAACACTGGGAGAGAAGACTCCACCCTACAGCCTCCAGGAGTTCAGGTGGCAGAGCTGGAGGAGCAGAGGTGACCATGTAAAGCCATGGGTAGGTGAACACGCCTCTCTTTTTACTTCCATAGCTGTTTGTCTCAAGCTCTAGTCTTTGTCTAAACGTTCCATTTGTGAACGAAGAAGCCACTGGACCAGATACAAATATGGAAAATTTTCACTCAAGTAGCCCGTGCAGATGCTGTGCTGTTCTCCAGGCCATTTGATCTCAGAGCCTTCTCTTATTCTGACTGACAAATCTCGCAGGCCCTCTGCTAACCTGTCCTACCTGGGCAATAATCATCCAAAGAAATCTTAGCCCTATTTCCTCATCTTTTCCACCCACTCAACAGTTTTAAGCAGATGTGTCCCACAAGAACCATCAAAAGCCTTTCTAGGACAAATCTGCAGGGACTGTACCACTGACAATTTTCAGCTAATTTCTTTGGGAAGGCACCATGCCCTGGATGATAAGTTTGTTCCTGGCTTGCTCTGTGTGCTGGAAGGGGTTGGTAGCTAGAGCAGTGGCATTTCAGCACACACAGGTATTCTTACATCATTTTTTTTCCCTTATTCCTCAGAGTTTGTCACTGAAAGGACATTTGTCCCAGGGCTGGGTGTCATGATCCACAGCCAGGTCCCCAGCACTTCAGTTCCCCATGGTCAACCTGTGATGATAATTGTGAACACTTTCCTATTCCACAGAGGCATTATGAGGGCTCATACCATAATGTCTATGAAGTGCTTTAAGACCCTCTCACAGCAGACACTGTAGAAAAGCAAAGCATTTTTAATAATATTGTTTGTCACCATTGTCCTGCCACATCATGTCTGATGCGTTGCAATCCAGTGTCTGTCCAGAATGAGGGTGCTGGGATGGGGAGATGCAGTTCCCCAGATGTCCCGTTGCTCTCCTTCTGGTCAGGGTCCCTTGCAGGCAGCAGATTTAAGGGATGCTGTTACCTGCACTTTAACCTTTCTGCTTTCTTCTCCTCATGTGTGGGTCACCATAATATTCTGCTCTCAGGAGAAAAGCAGGAAGCAGTCATATTCCTCTGTACAGTAAAATATAATCTGCCTTGATGGATCTAATATACTCTGAAGAATTGAAAGAATTGATCTGTCTTTTTCTCCAGCCCACAGGTAGAAACAGCCATCTGTGGAGTGTCCAGTTCCCAGAGTGCATGTGCAGGGACTGGGGAGGATGATGTAAAAAAGTTTATATTATTTCCTACAAATTATTTGCATTCCCCAAGCAGCAACACATAGGGAGTTGCTCTGGATTTTATACAACTCTGTCATTAATACAGATACATGTATGTATATATACACACAAATACATTTATATATATATATATACATACATACTATAAAACGCTAACATTAAATTCTGACTGACCCTGTACCAATCTCATCTTCCAAACTGTATTGAATCCTTGAAATGTGGAAAGCTATTTTTAATGAACCACACAGATCACCACATGGAACTGAAATTTTGTCATAAAAGTCTTGTAATGCCAGTGAATCGTGTTTTAAGGAAAAAAACAAGAAATATTTTTCAATGTTTTAATGTTCCTTTTATAAACAATGAACTGTTACTTGGGGATGGGGGTGGGTGAGTGGGAAGAAATAGGGAGAGTTACCCAGGAGTAAGCACTCCTTTTCTGACCCAGACAATTTCTGCCAGCTGCAAAGCTGGTCTCATGAACCCGGGCTTCCCGCATGCGTATTTCTCTTCTTGTGTTTATCAGAACCGTTCCCACGAGGAATCTACAAGAGCCTGGTATCAAGTTTTTGGAAGTGATGGGTAGTTCCTGATAGCTGGGAAGATGTCTTCATCTTCTTCCACCACAACAAACAAATCATCATGAAACAGGGTAACTTTAATTGTATTTGAAGTAAGTGTTTTAATTTGTGATGTTTGCCATCTTCAATTCATGTGATGGAGAAAGAGCTTGTTCTGGTTTTGTTTCACATTTTAGTGCTTAATCTGGAAGGAGGGACTCTGCTGAAATATATTTAACATGTACAGATTTCACACTCAAGTGTATTTCAGATAACTGAAAAGTTAGTAGGGAAATTTCATGAGAAAGGGGCTTAAATATTTTCATATAAAGTGTTGCTAGCAATAAGTCTGTGCTGGGGCTGCTTCTTAGAGAACAGCCACTCCTGTGTCGTGGCTGTAAGTGGATGGTAGAAGGTATTGCTTCCAGCCTCTCTTAGCTGGTTCACAGCTGTCAAGGAGATGTCCTCACCGAGCTGGGAACGCCAACCTACACTTCAGCCCAGGGGCAAAGGGAGAGTCGGATGATCCCGTTGGAGCATGTTAGTGTAAATCTGGAAGAGATCTTTGCTCTGAGCAGCAAGCAAAGTG